ACGCAAAAGTGAGTATTTTACATAGTATGAGTGTAAGCCGGTTTTTTGTGTAATCTAAAATAACGTGACTTTCTGTTTTTCAAGTTTCTCAGTTCTTTAGTGAACCATAACTGTGTTTGTTCTACAGGAACACACATGCGTTTAGGTACATACTTTTCAAATAATCTATGTACAGTAAAATTAGAATGTGCAACGCTTTGCTCAACTTTTTCTTTGTATATAGGCCACGACAATTTAGACAATTCTTTATTCAGTTTTTTAAAGTTGGCTTGCGAAAAATCAAAGCGAATATTTGGCTCGTATGTTTGGACATCGCAATTTTGACCATCGTTTATAATTTCGTAAGATATCTCAATAGCAGGGTGGTAGACATCTTCGGGCAAAACTAGTGGGTCACATTTATTTACAGCCGACTTAGATGCATCATCAACATAAACAAGATCTAATACTTTGCCAAACTTATTGCGAAGTACATTAACTTGATTCAGGCAGAGTTCAGCCATCTCCTCTAATGGACATACATATGTAGGTAAACGTATAAAAATGCAGCTTGGGCATGTTGTCCGCCCCGATGATAATGCTCCGGTGAAAATATCCTCAAACTTGGCACACAACGAAAGAATGGGCGCCCCGAGCACAACGGAAGGACCAAATGCAGAAGCACTTTTCTGACGCAACCAATGAAGTTGTTTCGTCTCGGCACCAAACCGACGAACGGTTGTAGCGCCAAACAAGGAAAAGAAGAAGAACATCAAATGTTGACGTTTGATTCAACGTTGACATTATAAATAATGTCAGTCTGGAAATATCTCTAAGCAATTGATGTTCAGAGCCATCTCGTGACAAAAATATATCAGGCTCTATACATTTCTCATTATGCTCTTATCACAATGAAAAAGCTTTGGAATCCTTCGAGTAAACTATTCTACGCAAGATCTATGGCCCTGTAGGCGCGTGGGACTTTTGCAAACCAAGTGATATGCGAAGCCCAAATTACAAAATTTTAATTTTTATGCCGACTTTTCTTCTTATATAGTGAAACGTTTTCGATTGAAGTATGCCTCCGAACGGAATTGTTGTTTTTTTAGGAGAAACTTCTTCTTAGAAGTACGCTTGTAAGTCTACCATTACCTGCTGTGGGGCTAACGTATTACAAATACAAAGTATGAGTGCATGTTTTTTATATGGAGGAAAATGCGTAGAAAATAAAAAATAAATTTTAGCTTTCAAAATATTGTGAGTATTTAAAAAAGATGTGGTGAATCAAGAATTTTGCTGTAAAATGTAAACAGTTAACTGGAGCTTCATCGTAAACGTTCTTTTTATTTTATAATAACATTTTAAATGTTATTATTTAGAATGCAATCTTGCGATTTAAAAATCTAATTTAAAAGAATTTTATTCCCAAATCAACCCTTTGTATAATATTTCGACTTGAAGTCGGCTTTTAAAGACCACCCTCCGAAAAACAATTAACATAAATATAATTTTGATCACTTTCTTCATGCGTTCTGAAACCCAGTTTCGTCAACTCTATTTTCGAAATGATATAGCCGACAAAATTTTAAAATTATCCTATTTAATATTTTTGAGTGGATTGATGAAATCTTCTGCTTAAAAAAAAAAAATATTACTTCTAGTGATCAGGTAGCATGAATTTGATTAAGTGCAATAATACACACATACATATACGTGCGGATAATCGATTGAATACTCACATGCTAACAAATTTCCCATAGTACCGCTGGGTACAAAAAGGCCTGCCTCCTTTTCAAATAACTTAGCCGCTTTCTCCTCTAAGGCATTTACAGTTGGATCCTCGCCATAAACATCATCGCCAACAACTGCCTCGAACATGGCCTTGCGCATTTCTGGAGTTGGTACACTCACGGTATCCGAACGTATATCGATCACGTATTCAGTCATATTTATTTAATCGGTTAACCAATAAACCCGAAATTCTTCTGTTCTTTGCAGACCTGTGGACAATTAAATAAGATTATTTAAAATGCAGTAGAAATAATAATTTCTTAGTTATATATAACGCACGTTTAATAATATGGAGTTGTAACTCAAAATTTACATTTTTGGAGATTCCATTATGCAATTAATAAACTTGATAGGTAGAATTTGTCCAGTTTAATAGATAACTAAACTTCGCAAACATGGCGAAGATATGTGTCTTCCCATCTGTCTTTTTGTATAACAACTGTTTGAGTTGATAAAACTTTGATTGCGTTTTCCCACAAAATTTAAATTTCGAAATATTTCGTTTTAAATTAAGTAAACATTTAAAATTTAAGTAAACATTTGTTCAATAAGCATTCAGGTAAGTTAGTTAAGTAAGTCCATAATACTATGTTCAAATAACTCAATAATAAATATATTTGCCATAAATTCGCATATATTTACATACATATCGTATTTATTTACATAGTTTCTAAGAACATTCGGTGAAATTTGTTTATGAAATTCTATTGGCTTTTCCTACAAAAACTGATATGTTTTTTTCCATTTCGTAGGTTGGTAGGCTTGACTACATTTTAGTAGGTTCCTTGACAATGAGTAATCGCTATTTGCGAAACATAGAAAATCAATATATCTCTAAACTTTTAGTAACCTTT